GCTCTTCGCAACAAATAATTAATCAAATTTTATTTGTTACTGTCGTCATTAAACAACAGTTCTAGTATTTCCAGACGGACTTAATTCAATTTTTAACCTATTAATTATTAGTTTAATTTCATTTTAATCTAAAAATTTTATTTTCTTTTTAAATGGTTTATAAACTTTGAAGAATATTTCAAAATAATCTGCAGTACAAAATTTTATTAGATTTAACAAAAAAAGCAATCCTTTAAATTTTGAAAAAGTGACATTATAATTCTAATATAATATAATAACTCAAAAAATATTTTATAGAGATAAATTAATTAGAATTTATAATAAACTTGAACAACTAGCTCGATTCAAATAGAGAAATTTAGTAAGTTTAGAATGAAAAGTTTTAAAAGTAAGTTTATTTTTCAAGGTAAATTATATCATCTGTCTTATAAAATTATTTTAATGTTTCTAAAAAGTAATATAAAAATAAAATTAAGGGCATTTAAATAATTTTGACAGGATGGATTACATACAATTTACTCTGTAAAACAATTTTCTGAAAAACACATTTAGCAAAATAATAATAAAAACTATTTTTATGGTGAATATAAATTTAAAGATTAAAAGATCAAAAGAAATATAATTAGAGGATTAAATATTTTCTTATAAAATAAGAAGATTCTATTAAAGATAACAAACATTTCCGTTAAAGATAATGGACTAAATAAAATTAAAATAAATGTAAAAGATAATAAACAAAATTGAAAGAATTTAAAGATAATAAATAAAATTGAAAAGAATATAAAAATTAATAAATAATTTGTTAAATTAGCCCATTTCCAAACAATCAATTCTCAAATTACAATAACAAACGTTTAACAAAAAATTACAATAACAAATGGGTACTGCTTATCTCAAAATGTCTGTATTTTTTTAAAATAAAAATTAAAAGACCTACCGTTTAAAATATAGAATTTTTTATAAAATTATTTAAATATTCTTAAAAAAATTTCTACATTAATTCATTAAAAATTTATAAATAATTTTATTAAAAAAATCTTAACATTTTTGTCATCAGTATATCTTGATTTTTCATAATTTTTTTTTTCTAAAATGATTGGTTTTTTCACAATTTCAAGTGCTTAGTGCGTCTGTTGATAGGAAAGAGAAAGTGCATGGTAAAAAAGGGGACAGATGATGTGGTACAGACTACAGAGGAACTAACAAACTAGATAAATCTGAATAGAACTCGAACCCGCAATCTTAATGTCGTGGGGACTAAATCTTTTTACCGCTCTAAACGCTTGCTCTCCTTTTGAACTAACTATTTTTTTAAAGAAAAAAATAATTTCATTGATATATAAAAATTATAAGAGTTATAAAACTAATTTAAATAGAGTAATACATCAAAGTATTACATAATAAGATATGAAAAAATATAAAATCAAATAATTTAATATCTACAAGAATATTATAACTAAATTTGAGTTGAAGGTCTAGTATTTTTTTTTATCTTGATTGCACAATGAGAGACAATTATCTCTTATTTCTTTTCACATCTCATCTGCATGTCATATGACTTAAATTCAGGATTTCTTATTTTTAATGAAAGAAGATGACCACTGCGTTATTTAAGTCGTTGACAAAATTTAATAATTAATTAGGTAAAATTTTGGTATAATCTTTTTAAACAGAAATTAAATTAGTTACAGGACAGAAATATACCTAGTAATAGTTGATAATCAAAATCCAACAACCAACAGTAATTAATGTTTATAATCTAAACAAATTTTTTTGATTAGAACAAAACAATTAATCACTCTATTCCGTATAAGCTAATCCAAACAAGGCATTACCGGCCTATACATATGGAAAATAATTGATACATTTTTTTAATTCAATACATTCATCAATATTTATCAATTCAGTTATTAAAATTTGTAATTGAAAATTTTTTTATTTTAAATTTAAATATAAAATTAATAATTTTTTTAATAAAATATATTATAAAATATATTAAATCAAAAAATATATTAATTATTATCTATATATATATATCAGCTAATCCAAACAATCTTAATTTACTGAAATTTGATATATATTTTTTTTAACATATTTTGCAAGGGATGAGTTTCGAACCCTACTAGGGGAAAATGTACTGGTGACTAATACAACTAGGCCTCAAGGGCCAGTTGAAATTCGATATTTTTTTATTATGATGCTTATTAAAATTTGAATTAATCTTCGTCATGTATGTATACCCGCTGTAAAATTTGACCATAATTTGCTTCGTACATATTATTTGGGACATTTATTATATCTTAAGAAATTAAATAAATTAAAGGACAGCCGAGCCAACTCAAAAAATTACAGTATTATACTTTGAAGTCAGAACTTTTTTTTGTTTTTACTTTTTAC